CCTGATTCCATTGCCGAGATACAGGGCGCTCATATTATAAGGTAAGGTTATAAAACCACCTTTTAAGATCATTTTAGTGAAAGTTTCATGTTCCTATCTCATAGAATTTAAGAACAATGATGAATAAATCATTTTCGAGCCAAATTTAAATGGCTGGCTGAATATATTACCGCCGGAGAGGCGGCCGCGGAATTTAAATGACCGCGCCAAAGGGTTAAAACAGGCACTTACAGGGTTAAATATAAAGCCTGTTCAAAACATTCTGGATATAAACTCACTACAAGCAATTAAGCATATAACACAATGAGCATATACAGCTTATTATACTTGCTGTATAAACACATACAGTCCCATGTTGCATGTTGTTTCTGTAGCAACAAAGGAATCAAATACTGCAAGGAAAAAACAGCCAGAGAAACAAAGAAAATTCCTGCCTCTATTATGAATGAAAATGTTTAAATTATCTTCTCAAGCTTCACAAATCGTAATTCAGCCATGCCGTCAATCATGTCATGTACACTAATGACTATTTCTGTCAAGGTGGACGGATGCAATAGAAAACATATTACATGGCAAAAATCATACATAATCACAGAATATACATTTCAAGCCACGCAAAGCACTATACTTATCAAAATTTAAATATGAGCCGGTCCTCATACACTTTAAAGGACACATTTTATTATCTAAATTTAAGATTTACCTCAATTTTCTTTTCCAGTTGGACCTGTTTCTCACCATCTCTCTTCATATCCTCTGCCAATTTGTCCCTGTGTTCCTTCTTGTCTTTTATCTGTTTATTCAGAGATCTGAAATTGAATAAATCATAAATTTTAACATTAATCTATATTATAAACATCCAATATATGACCAGTTGTGTGACAGTCCCTATTATCAATCCCTAAAACATCATACTTTTTATTTTGTACCAACACGGTTAACAATTGAACAAATGAATGAATGAATGAATGAATGAATGGATAAAGTGTGGGCCTTCACTGGTCTTTACACCACGACCATCACTTACCTATTGTGCATCTCGATCTATTCAGTTCCCAAGTGGTCCTATACTTTTTACTTACAGGGGTGTCTCGGTAGTCAGTTAATCCTACAGGCGATAAAATCTTAAGCTACAGCTTAATTACACAGGATATGTGACAACGATCCATTTTTTTCCAGGCACAAATGGAACTGTTGGTGAATCCATTCAAAAAGATACCCTTTCAAGTGAGAGATTTCTGTAAGCAGTCCTGCCACCCACCAAAACTGGTTTCTATTTAGTTTCAACAGTTCTCTAGCTCTTCTTGCAGAGGGCCCTTGTAGGAAACCCTATGCATGTTTGAATCCCATTATAGACACCCATACATTGCAAAACTTCTTTTTATTTATAAGAACACAGTTTTACAGCACTGAAGATTTAAATTGTGATCTAGAGGCAGCACATTCCTCCAAAACAATGCTGACCACCTCGCAAACTACAAAGTGTAAACTCAGTGGACCACAATGAAAAATAAAGATGAAACGTATCTAGTGGCTGCAAAAATTTGTGATTTTAAACAGCATCTTCACTTCTGTGTACCTATACCATCACTACTACTAATCTCATGTCCACTTCTGAGATAAAAGTATCTACCCTTATATATATCCTCCCATTGTTTCTAGTCATTCATTTCTGCCCATTTCCTGTCTCTGCTTACAATTTCTATTCTCATATAGTTCATCCTTAACACTGCAAGCCCTCCATTCAACTCACTGTCATACTCAGGTGTCCATCTTCATTTATGTCACATGACCAAACCATTAAAAACTCCTTCTGTGCTCTCTTGTATTTTTTTAATCTCATGGTGTGGAGTGAAACTACGTCCATCTGGTATGTTGGCCTATTATATCATACCCGGATGATAGACAGGTCTGGAAAGGGGTCGACTCAGCCTCGCGAGGATAAATGAGGAACTACCTGAGTGGAAAAGTAGCGGCTCCGGTCTAGAAAACCGAAATTAATGGCCAGTGGGATTTGTTACACTGACCACGCGACACCCTCTATCCATTAAAGGTGGCAAAGTACAGTGCATATAGCAGAATGAAAACTTTCAAGGGAAATGGAAATACTCAGACAAAACCTGCCCCAGTGCCATTTTGTCCATAACCTACCCCACACGACCTGACATTGGGTTGAACCCAGGCCACTGTGGTGGGAAGTCAGCAAATAACCACTTGAGCTACAGTAGGGAATATATCCTCTTGTAAGTAACCAAGTTTTTAATCTGTGCTCTCATTCCTAAGCTACCTCTTCTGTGTACCCAGCATACTTCTCAACAGTTTCATTTTAGTTTCCTGAATTATATTATATTAGTTTTGGTAAGAAGCCCTCTCTCTGTTACATATCTCTGCACTGGTTTGAAATATATTTTTTTTACTGCTAGTGGGGTGGGCCTAAGTCCCTTGTACTGCGGCCACTTCTGGCCTATTGTACCAGCCCCAGATGATAGGTGAGGGTGATTGTGGAGCAATTGGTGGAATGAAGATTGGCAGGGGAAACCGAAGTACTAGGAGAACACCTGCCCCAGTGCCACTTTGTCCACCACAAATCCCACTTGACCAGACCCGGGCTGTTGGTTTGAAATAAGTCTTGGGCATTTATTGGTACTTTCTGTTCCCAAACTGCACTTTCAGTAATCAGATATAGTTCTGCAATACTCTGGACATTTATATCAACTTCATTTCCAAAGGAAACAAATCAATTCACACTCATGTACCATTTTCCACTTATTTTTATATCAGTTGAATTGTCTGCCTTTCTGGAGTCATGGCTGCATTTACCATTTACCAAATTAAGAACATAGCACCAACACTGTACCACATGCTCTATTTCTTTCTTGTTCATTCTACAATATCAAAATACAAGTAAGAATGANAGAATGACATAAATTGCTGTTTTTAATTTGTTCTTACTTTCTTTAGCTGGTAGACCAATTGGTCTTATTTGAACCTTAATAGCCCTAACTTTAATTGTACAGAAGCACAATATTTTAAATATCCTGGTATTACATAAAGAACAGTAGTACGGTTTCCTTCATAACAGCAGATAAATATAAAACTATCCTCTCATGACAAGGTCTGCCTCTACAGAACCTACTTGAGTTCTTTCATGATCCACTGATCCCGAGCTTCTTTTGACGTAAACTGACTTCCTCGGCCCTGCTTGGCATACAACTCCTTCCGTTTCTGTTCTTTCAGTGCCAATCTGTAAGAAATACAAGCAGTACATGTAAATGTGGTGTTGTCTTCTAATTAATGCTTAAAAATAACATCCCCCCCCCTGGAAGCTAGCTGAATACCTTGTCCCTTGCTCAGTATAAATATGCACCTACACAAAATTCTGACTGTTCTATTCCACCAAGTGGCTACAGTCTCTTTCTTGTATGGCATAAGGCAAAATACAGCGAAATACCTAATTAAATTCCCTTTGGGGGGAATGATTTTTCTTGCAAAAAAAATTATTACTTTTATTTAATGGGGTTTACNTTTACACAAAATTACGTTAAAAATCCATTCATCTTCTTATAAGACTTACTGTAAATAACTATGACAGCAATATTTCTTTACGTTAACAGTTAAAAGAAACTGCTTCTACACAAATAAATGCAGTTACATAATCAGTAATAGAAAACTAACTTCTAAAACAATAACATGAAATAAACACTGAAACAATTTATCGAAGCAACTATGATGCCACAAGCGAATTTTGGTGTGGTCAATGTGTGATGCCACTCATCTAACATTATGATTCTACAGTAGCCATTTCAGATAGAGAGAAAACATCAAGTGTTGCTTCAAACACACCCAACACATAAGTTCTTGAAGATGGAGAATTTCTCACAATTATTCAGATTCCGTATATACAGGAAATTAATCAATCGATTTTTGTTAACACCCATCCCCCATCCGCAAGCCACCAAATATGGGATTTTGCTTAATGCAGGAACACTAATTTGGAATTTCACTGTAACATAAGGGATGGTAAAATTAGAAAACGGAATTTTTAAACATGAAAATGAAGGTTATTTCTTGTGAATGATCATCTACAGTATCCACAGCAAATTCTGCTACATTTCATTAGACACATTTCAATTTGTCAGTTATCTTCAGGGGCATTTAGATTGCAGTTCTTAACCACTGCCACTTGTATGATCAGTGATGTTCTGTACCCCTCCCCTCTGTGGTCTGTAGTCCACAAGCAAACTATACCGACTGTGCGACCACTGCTTGTCAGCAAAGTTAGTGAATCTGTGGTCTAGTGGTCAGAGTTCCTGATTACAGATCCAAAGATACCGGGTTTGATTCCCGGCGCTACCAGATTTTCTGAGTAGTGGGTCTGGAACGGGGTCCACTCAGCCTTGTGAGGATAATTGAGGAGCTATTTCAAGGACATAGTGGCTCCGGTCTAGAAAACCGAGATTAACAGCTGTGGGGATCCATTGCACTGACCACGTGACACCCTCTATTTGTAAAAGTTGGAAGTTTTACCCCTCCCCTACTGATACTTATCTCATGTTTAGTGAAAGTTCAAAAAGGATATTACTTTGGTTAGAATACTGTTCATTTATGGCTAATCTTTCCTTTGAATGTCAAGTGCAATACATAATAGGCTGGCCATGCTGTAGGACTGAAGTGAAATCAAGTGGAAAAATAATAATCAACTAAAACTCACCTGTAAAGCCAATGCCATCGAAACAGAAGAACATATTTTCTCTGTATTTCCAATTCAATGACAAAACACTTGTACTGTAATTTTAAAATACTATGTACCATTCCAAGCTTTTAATTTCTATTCATGGATACAATAACAAAATACTTACTCCCGGGTACATTCTTCTTCTTTTTTCTTCATCTCCTCATATTTTGGTTTCAGTTCTTCAAGTTCTGACTCCCTCTGTTGTATTGTCTTCTTCAGCTTCTCTAGTTCATTTTCTGCTCGCAACTGGAAATATATTATGAACCAGTTAGTTTCATTTCTTCACATACGTTTTGTTTAACTGCAACATTACTATAAAAGAAGTTGTTGGGAAAACTTATGATGCCCATTTCCTTCATCTGTGTGCTGAAGCTAGCAAGAAATTTAGATTAATAAGTATGTTAATTAGTAATATATATCTGTGCATAATTTGCACTAATATAAATGTTGATTTTGTCAAATTTGTTAGATATAACCTTACAATTTTGCACTTTTGCCACGCCTGCATTTGTTGACAGATATACAATATTTCATATGGAATTTGTAGGCAAATTTATGTCATATCTCAATAAAAATCTGACATTCAATTGGTTCCTTAGTTACTGCAAAAGATTTGAAAACTGGAAGTAGATTCTGCGTAGCCACCATCTTCATGATTTACCTGTCTCACAACTCTGCTTGGCCATCATGTTGGGAGTTAGTGATGGATAGAAATAAATGAAAAAGCACGTACCCTCTAGTTCACATCAAGTTACTTGACTGCATAGAGCGTGGGCCATAATAATCCGGCCCTTGCACTGTGACCTTCAATGTTCTATTGTGCTTTCAAATCACATGAACAGCTGTCTATTTCCTTCCTGTTCAACATTTAATCAGATACAATGTTCAAGTAAAATGACAGCTCAAATAGTCTCAGTACTATTTTAGGTATTCTGGTATATTCTCAACACAAAATTTAATAAAAAGAAGTTACTGATACTAGATCATTGGTTGAAGAGACCTCTGAAAGGCAACAATAATCATTTATTTGACTGATCTCAGGTCTACTCATTAACGCTTTCTGTGCTAGAAACATTCACAAACACCCTCTGACATGTTAGATTAGATCAGTATGCTAAACTGCCTGGAACTGATGATAGGTGTAATTTACCACTTGAATTAAGGCTCCCGTAGTTGTAACAAACCATTACCTTTGATGTGTTGTCTCCTAGGACCTCATCAGACAGGTCCTTGATGATAAGCTCAAGCTTTGTCTTTTCCTTAAGCAGCTGCTGCTGCTCAGCACTCAATGTGTCTCGCTCCTCTTTGTGTGTCTGAACCATCTTCTTTGCGTCTTTTAAGCGTCGTGCTGCTGAGCGGATATTCTCCTGAGCTACTTTTAGTTCATTGCTGTATTTCTTCTGTTCTTCCCCTGAATTTTTTCGAGCTGCTTCCATCTAGAAAAGACACCATCTTCATGTAGAGCTGTCACATTTGGACCTCAATTTCAGAATATACAATACCTTGATAATAATACAACATAAGACAGTATAATATTTGCCTCAACAATTCATACTCAAATCATAATTCAAAATTGTAAATAAAAATACTGTTTCCTATGGGAGGATTTGATTTTCAATGGATTACATGGCATTACTCTTTTCTAACATGGTTCACGGTGCATATGTTAATTTTCAACAGTATCTGTAAATTTATCAGCATTTCATTGTAATATTACTTACTTACTCTTGGAGCTGAACCCTTCTTGACGAGCTGCGAATTCTGCAGCTACTCAAGAATTTCCCAGCATTTTATGGAATTCGAAGGTTCATTACCATGTTCTCAAGAGCCCTCCACTGGTCCCTATCCTGAGCCAGATCAATCCAATCCATCCAATCCTATCTCTCTAAGATCCACTTTAATATTGTCCTCCCACTTATGCCTTGCGCTTCCCAGTGGTCTCTTTCCTTCTGGCTTTCCCAATATATTACATGCATTCCTCGTCTCCCCCATTCATGCTACATGCCCTGCCCACCTCATCTTCATCCTCCTAATTATACTTTGAGATTAAACATTAATAAATTGAACTTATGCACTTTATTTGGAAAAGGGGAAAGAGAGATACCATCTTACAAACATGTACATCACTGAAACAATATGATTGCGACATACGTCATCGAGTTTCTTCCTTGTTTCCTTGAGCTCACGGTCGTGTATGGTATATTCCAGAGACCGCCTCATCTTGTCCCACTTCTGATACTCTTTCAGCTCCTCCTTCTCCTCTTCTAGAGTTTGCAGACGCTCTTCAATCGTTCTCAGGAACTCTTCTATCTTGTCCACCTTCCCCTCCGTTTCTGTACATGTACACATATGTATCAACATGGACCTATGTAGAGCAACTGAAATTTTGTAACCACATATCTCCAAAAGACAATACCTTTCAAAATAGCTTTTGACTCTTCCCTCCTCTCATCATACACACGAGTTCCAGCCACTTCTCGCAGCAACTTGAGCCGGTGAGAATCTGGTGCTGTAGCCATCTGATTGATCTGAAAGGAGACAAAGAAAATGAGTAACACAATATAATGAATGTTATTAATGGCTGATCATGTTATTTCGAAATTTATCCTACTCCTGTCAATAAATCGTATCACATAAATGATATAATTAATGCTTTTTATTTATTTATTTTCAACCTGAGGGTACTGGGATTTTATTGTTAAAAGTCATTTCAAATATGGCTTAAATTTTGGCTTCATGTGGTTCACAAAGTGCTCGGCTGAATCTCTTTATTTGTACTTCACTGATGTGACACTTTCAAACTTCACATTTAATCTACAGTGGTACACGAGCAGTTCAGTGTGGGGGAGATGTGTATATTTTGCATGTCTGTAGAATGACAAAGGGCAAACCTTGAACTAACTTCAAAATAAGTAATATCACATTACACATATAGTTACTATAGAGAATTTTATTTTTAAACTTCCTCAATTTTGCTGGAATTAAATATTTATTTTATATGGCACAACTTCCTTCTAGGAGCTGGGATAGCTTAGTCAGTATAGTGACAGGCTATGGGCTGGAGGAGTCAAAGTCTGAGTCCCGGTGTGGCAAGAATTTTCTCTTGTCCACGTCATCCAGACCGGCTCTGGGGTCCACTCAACCTCCTATATAATGGGTACTGGGGGTTCTTTCCTTGGGGGTAAAGCGGCTGGGTCATGAAGCTCACCACTCACCTCCAACTAGTGCTGAGGTCAAGAAAGTGTGGATCTATACATCAACTCCCCCACATGCCTTCATGCTGTAGTGCTTAATTAGTTAAGCACAAGGACAACTTTACCTTTTACCTTACAACTTCGTTCTACACTATTATACACGAAATATATTTAGCAGCTATGCCAAGGCACAGTCTTTCAGCTATACATGTTTGATGCACAGGTTGCTGCTTTTCCTACTCAGATGGCTGCAACGATGACGCTTTAGAGTCTTAACTCTTTTCTACCCTAAAAATTGTCATTACTACATTTTATTACCCTTTCACATTTTAGAATATAAAAAAGTTTCAATTGATAATTACACAGAAGGTGTTGGAGGATACACAGACAGATGTTAACATATAATAATTCATTACCTTGCCCTGCTTTACGATGTAATATGGGTTAGAACGTGAAAATCCAGCAGACTCAAGCAGGTTCATCACATCAGAACGGGGAACTACCTTCTTATTAAGGAAGTACTGATCCTTCTTTGCACCAATAACTCGTCTGAGGAACACCTCCTCCTTATCAATCTACAATATAAGGTCAATTGTATGTCAAATACATTATAATACATACAAAATTCTTTGCAGAGAAATCTTTAATAAAATCAATTTTATCCCTGAGAAGAGAACTTCCATATTACATCGAACAAGAGAACATGAGACCAAGGACCATTATTGGCTGCGCCATAGATCAAGCAGTTAGTCGCTGGCTTCCCACCGAGGCGGCCCCCGTTCAGTCCCGGGTCTGGTCAAGTGGGATTTGTGGTGGACAAAGTGGCGCTTGGGCAGGTTTTCTCCGAGTACTCCGGTTTCCCCTGCCAATCTTCATTCCACCAATTGCTCCACAATCACCCTCACCTATTATATGGGGCTGGTACGATACGCCAGAAGTGGTCACAGTACAAGGGACTTAGTCCCAGCCTACTAGCAAAAAAAAAAAAAGACCATTATACACATACATCTAAGATCAAAGCCAGATATGCCTCTTGGGAATAAAACCTTGGCTATCTATTCTACAACCAGTCATATTACAGACTTTACATCATTGCAGCCTAAACAAAAAAAAGTTTCAGAATGGGACAAAACTACAAATGAAAAAACAATTTGTGGATTACTGGAGACAATATTTATTAATTTTTGTTACCCGTGGGCATAGTTTTTGCTACAAAATTACAAATAAATTAGAGATGCCTACATGCAGGCTACCACACACTACACTTCAATGTAAATAACAGCAAAATGTAAAGTCTTCAAACAAAAACACTTACGGGCAGCCTTCCATCTGTATTGTCAAAGATAATCTCAACATAGGCATTAAGAACCCGAGGCCCTGTTCCTTCATGTAGCAACGCCTGGCGCTGCTCAGGTCGTAAGTGTGAGAATTCATCACTCAATACAAACTGGATTGCTGAACACAAAATATACCAACATATTGTTAAACAGATCAGAACAATGACAGTGATACCAACCACTACAAAAACAAACATTAACACTTATAATAATTGAACAGTATGTACCAACTGGATACCTAACTATGGAGAAAGCCTTGAGATAATGTCGCTGTCCACAAGGGGGAAGAGGGGTAAAAGACAAATCATAGTGCAAAGCAACTACATACATTTTTTATTTAGTATAAGAAACTGCTCTTTCTTCAGAATACATACTGAAGTACATCTGCTTCCTTTGAAAGACTGAAATATACATTTTACTATCATGCAGCAATCTATTAAAAAAATTGCCAGTTGTACATATACAAAAACAATTATGAAAGAAAAAAATTATACTTACCATAGAAGAAATTACTCTTGCCTGAACCATTTCGACCCACTGAAATGAATATAAACAGATTAAAACCAGTAAAACAAATTAAATGTTTTCTATATGTTTTGATAATGGAAATTCTATGGGTTACTGACACCAAACAAAGAAGAATATTATATAACCTCCAAGAAGTAACTAGATTACTATTTTCAAGTCTACGCTGTATGGGCCTGGGCTCTGAAACTCTGCAGGGTGAGGTGAGATGAGAAAGAACAATAGTTCTTCAATGGGACCAGCTACAAAGCCATTCTTCTAGCTAGTAAGAGTCTCATTACTGGTCACAATACAGATACCATATGCCTTCTCGGGTTTCAGAGCTAAGGCCTGAAGTATAGTTTGACCACATGAAGATGAGGACAGTATCAGAAAATTTCAGAAACAACACTCCCAAGAGACATTCTGAAATGTTAAAGACTCTACAGAGGGCTATCATATGTGAAATAACACCATGGAAAATTAAGCAACAGTGTCTATTTTCCATTTCAATTGATCAAGTCAAGGAGGATGAGGTGGGCGGGGCATGTAACACAAATGGGGGGAGAAGAGGAATGCATATAGGATACTGGTGGGAAAGCCAGATGGAAAGAGACCACTTGGAAGACCAAGGCGTAGGTGGGTGGACAATATTAAACTGGATCTTAGAGAAGTAGGATGGGATGGTATGGTTTGGACTGATCTGCTCAGGATAGGGGACAGTGGAGGGCCCTTGTGAACATGCTAATGAACCTTCGGGTTCCATAAAATGCTGGTAAATTCTTGAGTAGCTGCAGATTCGGCTTTTCCTCAAGAAGGGTTCAGCTCCATAAGTAAGTAAGAGTCCCTTTTAATAACCCAGCATAATGGATAATGAACATTTGCACAATCATTTAATATGGCTGTACACATGCACTCGGTTCCATAGAACTTATAACATAAAAAGCTCATTACTTATTCGGTTAATGGGCTTACGAACAAAAACCACTACAGAAAGCATCAGATGACAAGTTTATACAATTCGCAAACTGCCGACAATACTCACCCACAACATTGTGCCTAGGATCGAAAGGTTCTACTATGGTTTGCTCTCTATAACTCTTGAATCCTTGAATAATAACCTAAAGTGGAGGAAATAATTAAAATTCGTATTTAAGGAAATTATGAAATTCTAGACCTTTAGGAAAAATTACCTCACAAAAACATACACTACAAAAGTATTTAAATACGAACCTGCTTAATATACATATTACAATCGCAAATTCTTGCATTAAATTGCTCCTATTAAAAAATGTATTACAAAATAATTATAACCTCATAACTTCTATTGCATTCAACATTACTTTGGTTTGTTGTCAAACAAACCATCACCTCCTTCGCCCACTCTACGCCAAGGATTACGCGCTAAACTCTTTCGTTTAGGGGACATTACTGTGCCTACAGAGCAACGAATCAATACAAAGATTGCATAGGCATCTTATTTCTAAGTTTTTAAAGAGTGTATGAGCAACGAGTTCTGCACATCAATTAGAGTGTCATACTTTTACTAGTCTGTCGGATTTATTACTCAAAGCAATTTGCAGTATTTGTTTCTTCTAGATATAGCACCTCTATGACACAACCACAGCCATACGTACGAGAACACACCCCAACCCACGGATTACTACATACATGACCTTAGTAATCCGTGAATACCGTAGAACAATGGTTGACCAACGATAATTAATATTGCCATTCCGTTGGAGCGCCAAATTAAGTGGGCGGCAACCTGACGATGTAAGTGAGCGTTTGAATGGAAACAATTAGGCGTTCGTGTGAATGACAAGACAGATCACTGTGAACTGATGTTGTTTTATTGTAGTGGACGTTTTATGGGTAACTTAAAACCAGCATGTCTTTTTCCTACACTGCACTGTGAACCACAGATCTCCTTCCTTTGTCAAAAGTGAAAGCGTGTTTAACATCGATGACCNTTTCCCATTTTTTCCCCCCTTTTTTACCTCCATTTTACTTACCTGAGGACGGTAGCAGAACCAGCTTCCGAAACGTCGTGATTTAACTGACTGGGACGATGGATACAGTCCAGAATTTTAGTTTTAATATCGATGACCGAGTATGTCCGTGGGTAGTTTCATTTCAGAAAGCTGTGCTGTTTACTTCTTTCTCGTTGCTTGCTTAAGAGATCATCGACTTTGTGGATGAAGGCAGCCATTTCATCCGAAACGTCGGTGAACTTCTACCAAACTGCACGATGACACATCGTCCCGGAACAGATATTCTTCATGTGTGTTAGTCTATTGTTCAGTGCTCTTAATGTGCTGTTTCACGGAATCTGTCTCTTTTAGACATTGGCCTATTTTCTCCACTTTAATTATTTCGGCTGTTATTTCGGAGTGAAAGTGTGATAATAGGCCCATATAGTCATGTATTTGTCTTTTATATTAACATGAAGGCCTGGGGAAGTTTATGACACCTGCTTTCCTCCAGACGTTTCAATCTATAGAGTAACGGTAGCAAGAACTACAAATTAATAATTAGGCATTACTACTTAATGATCCATTTCTGAGAACGGTTTGCTCCATTACAAATTCTGTCTACACTAAGTATATAACACGTACATATACTCAAAATTTCGCACTGTCGCCATGTTAGTAATTATTGACATATAGACAATGTTTCATAGAGAACTTTTAGATGTGTATACATTTACGTATACGCTAAACTTTGAATCCCTAACTCAATGATTTGTTAGTCACCAACAAAAAAAAAAAAAAACGAAAACGAAAGTTAAATATATAATTCGTGAGTCCGCCATGTTTTAATTTTACATTCTACAAAAATATTTACCATACAGAATTAGCATATATTTCTAAGATTCATTACCATAACATTGAAGTTCCAACAGTCCCACAGTCCCTATGTTTGTTTTATTGACGACAGGAAAATAAAATATTGTCACAAGATGGAGGTTGACTACAGACATGTTTTGGACTGACGACCAGATTTATTGCACACTTTGATACAGCGCGTGATTGAATTTTACAGTTCGCTGTTACGCACACATTTGTGTCATTTCAATTCATGGATACAATAACAAAATACTTACTCCCGGGTACATTCTTCTTCTTTCTTCTTCATCTCCTCATATTTTGGCTTCAGTTTTTCAAGTTCTGACTCCCTCTGTTGTATTGTCTTCTTCAGCTTCTGTAGTTCATTTTCTGCTCGCAACTGGAAATATATTATGAACAAGTTAGTTTCATTTCTTCACTGCTGTTGCTTGGTAGCGGCTTCCAACGGCGGACGTTCCTCTTCTACTGAGTTCCCGAAATGTCCTCAGCCTCAGTTATCTCCTTTTAAGAGCAAGTTGCTCACAGCGACTGAATCCCAGCAGTTCTCCATAGCTAACACTAACTGCAATAGGCCAAAGTCAAAGTTATGTTACTACCCATGGTCAGTTAGCCAGCCTGTCTTGGTGTCAAGCCGCATCTGGAACCCAAGACCGAATTTTTGTTTCTGTCAGACAGTTGCAGGTTTGTTGACGTGAGGCTCCCTCTCTGATCAGTGGACTGCCCTGTCGTTTAAAATTGCTACTGGTCCTCGCCAGCGCAGTCATATTTACCGAGGTCAAAATTAGTAGTACATATCATCTATATTTACAATTTTACATGTCGCCATTCTACATATCCAGCCACTTGTCAAGAGTCCAGTTTCTTCGACACCTACTATTTATTCTTGTACATGTACTACTTAGTATTTAATAGTATGTACGTACAGTGTATTTAAGGCTTGACAGAGCAGATCGTGCCCTGACTCATGTAGCTCACGTTACAACGGCTGCCTAGACACTTGAACGGTCGTATGCTTGACAACAAGGTTAACCCTCTTATATTTTCTGTGTCGGGCTTCCCCTTTTCCGATGTTGCAAAAATTCGAATTTATGTGATTTTATGTGAACTCTGCTTGTTGCCTGCACAACTTTGTTATTTAATCATAAATATACTGTACTTGGAAAGCCATGTGCAACTTGCGGACCGGTGTGCACTTTGCAAATGCACTAACAGTGGGGGGGAAAACTTGTGTTGCAAACGCCACAATTTCGAAAAGGGGGGATCTGCATCAAATTCCCAGGCGGGACAAGGATAAGTCATTATAAACGAACTAGCGCTTCATGGAGGGTTGGTTTAATGTTAGAGCNAACGTCGGCCAAAACGAAGAATACACGGTGCCTAAACCCAGAAGACAACTTTCTTCATTGTCATCGCAGTGAAAACCTCAAAACTTACTTAGAGCTTAATTGTTCACTATTGTATAAAAAATAGACTCTAATAAACATTCTGAAGGCCTTGGCTTTGATCATTTCTGTATGCTACCTCCATGTAATCCTCTTGTAGAAGAATACTACGAGGTGCTTTACATGATTCATGAAGGGTATCTTCCGTCCGTTCAAGGTGAGGTGAACCTCAGGTGCTGTAAGTCTGTGAGAGTAACTGTAACAAAAGTCAAGTCATATTACGACCGATGGTCTGTTTCGGTATCAAGCACCCATCTGGGGCCCAAGAACAAACTTTTATTAGTGTCAGACAGTAACGGATTTGTTGATGAGCTCCCTCTTTGACGAGAGGCTGTATCTGTCATTCTCGGGTCCGAGTGCAATGGGACTCATGACCAAAGTCAAGGTTACTTTCCGACTGGCGGTTTATAGCCAATCAGTTCGTCTTGGCGCCAAGCTTCTCGACGATCACGACCAGAGATTTTTTTCTTTTTTTTGCAACTGAAATCTTGCGGCCATATTCCTTATGTAACGTCTCTTATGAACAGGTTTCGTTTCGCCTTTGTCAAGTATGCATATCGCACATATAACATGTTATCTAAAATTCTTCTTTGTTACTATATAAAAATCTTCTGTCGGTCCAGGCTTTGTAAAGCAGATCATGGCTGTTTTTTTCTTGTCTTATGCTATAACGAAATCTTAGTCACTTGAACAGTGTTAGTTTGACCGCCGCCATCTTTGCTGTCTGTCACATAAACATAGATGTCGTCAGCAAAGAGACCTACATATATACCAAGTGTTTTGGGCGTATCATTTATATATGCATGTATACTGTACAATGTGGGGACAGGACGCAACCTTGTGGCAGCCCTGCTTGTATATCCCTTGGAGTACGTAGATATTTCGCCTTCGACCGAGACTCTGAATTTTCTCTGAGAGAGAGAAAAAAAAAAAGAGGCAATAAGCTTGATTACACTGGTCTAAAATTTGAATTCAGAAAATTTATGTAGCAAGCCAAGGTGACTGGCTTAGGGGGTCCAGTTTTAATATCTCGGCACGGACCGAGTACAGAACACCGTACCCCTCTTACAGTGAAACTGCTGCTTAGCGATGGCATGACGTATTCCATTGTTACGTAAGCAGCCGTCGTCGGCAAGGACTGCGCAGAAAACACCATTCTCCTGTTGTTTGTTTACGGGCCAATGCCTAGTAACGGCCGGCTGTTTTGACTAAGAAATTGTTGCTTGGAGCGAATATGCCACAATATATAGATATGGAGTGGCCCTAGAGATCTGTTATTAGTATGTATGAAGTTTCATCTGTCCAAAATTATCGGAGGGAAAGACACACGGTCGTGATAGGTCTATCATAAGCTTGTCACAAAAAATGAAGAAGGCAATCATTAAAATTGTACAAGGCAGATATTACTACGTTATTTCTGAAAAAGCAAATTTGATAGATAGCCCAGTAGCCAGCAGCAAACAACAATCCCCTGAGAAGCAAGTCTTTATATAAGACACGTCGTTGGAAAACCGATGACACACTAACCTTTTGCGTTACGGCCCTGATCTGATTACGAGGCTCATTAAAATTGCAAGTTCTTTGACATTTAAGGAGCCTTCATGAAGATACTATGAGATATCGTGATGGGCTCCCATGTGTTCTTATTGAACAGCAAGTAAATACTCACTCACAGTGGATCATCTGTTTCTTTGAAGAGTTGGAAGTCTTTCGATCTGAAAGAGAACAATTACAGGCTAGTTCTTGTAAGGCAGATATTTTTCACAGACAACCGAAATATATCAGTGACACTGAAATTCTAATATGATGCTGATGTGGTGGAATACTTCTATACTTTTTATTATTTGCAGTCAATTTTCAAATGCAAAAACTGATGACTCGTCTGGAATAATGACTCGTATAGGTGAGTTTGGAGGAAGGTAACTTGTTAGTGGCATAATGGATTTTATTACATGAAATAATTTCTCTAAGCAAAACCTGGGTGAACTGGAAATTGATCTTCTTAGTTTAAAAAATATTATCTGCTAGAGTTTGACGTCATGTAGTCTGACAGGTGTTGATCGACATTTCAGAGGAGCGTGCTGCTTCCATGATCATGGTAAAAACAGTCTTCCTAGTTCTTA